GGGCAAAAGCTGCACCTATTCCTCCAACATTTCCATCACTGAAAATGTTGAAATTCACCCCAAACTGTCTCCCGGGGGGTGTCCCATGGACCTCACCTCACCCAGACCAGTTATTCTCGCAGATCACAGACTGGTTTGGGTGGGAGGGGACCCCAAAGCCCCCCCCAGTGTCCCCTTCCCTGCCCTGGGCAGGGCCACATCCCACCAGCCCAGGTTGCCCCAAGCCCCCTCCAACCTGGCCTTGAACCCCTCCAGGGATGGGGCAGCCACAGCTTCTCTGGCCAGCCTGGGCCAGGCTCTCCCCACCCTCACACCAAACAAGGTCTTCCCCACATCTCACCTCAATCTCCCAAATTTTGGTTGAAAACCCTTCCCCCTCGTCCTATGGCTCCACTCCCCAAACACCATCCCTGGAGGGATCTAAAAGCCGGTGCTGAGGGCCATAGGGCAGTGGTGGGTTGGTGGTTGGGCTTGATGATCTTCAAGGTCTCTTCCAACCCAGGGAAGTGGTGGAATCGCCAGAGAATCACAGAATGTTTGGGGTTGGAAAGGATCTTGAAGCCCATCCAGTTCCATCCCTTCTAATGGAAGGGCCACCTCCTGTGGAGGAATGGCTGTGTGAAAAAGGCCACGATTTAATTGCAATGAGCAACCCAGTCTTTGATGTAGATAAAGGCCTGGAGATGACCATGAGCTCTCCTGGGAAAAGCAGAAGTAAGAAGAAGCAGCTACTTGGTAGATAAGATAAACGGGACCGCATCCAGAAGATGAGAGAATGTTGCTGCGCGTGGACAAGGGGTCTACACCAATTGTGTGAACACTCTGGTCGCGTGAACAGAGATTGTAAACCAATCGTATAGCTACTGCTAGCGCGTGCTCTGCTTGCCTGTCTATATATACTTTGTAAAAACATGAATAAAGGGAGAACGATCATACTCATATTGAGGTTACATCGTTACTCCAGGTCCGTCTCCCACTCCCGACAACCTCCCACCAGCCCAGGTTGCCCCAAGCCCCCTCCAACCTTGGCCTTGAACCCCTCCAGGGATGGGGCAGCCACAGCTTCTCTGGCCAGCCTGGGCCAGGCTCTCACCACCCTCACACCAAACAAGTTCTTCCCCAGATCCCACCTCAATCTCCCAATTTTTGGTTGAAAACCCTTCTCCCTCGTCCCATCACTCCCCTCTCTCATTAAGAGCCCCCCCCATCTCTCCTGGAGCCCCTTGAGGGACTGGAAGGGGCTCCAAGGTCTTCCTGGAGCCTTCTGTTCTCCAGGCTGAACCCCTCCAACTCTCTCAGCCCCCCTTCCCAGCAGAGGGGCTCCAGCCCTCCCAGCATCTCCGGGGCCTCCTCTGGCCCCACTCCAACAGCTCCGTGTCCTTGGGATGTTGGCGGCCCCAGAGCTGGAAGCAGCACCGGGGGGTGTGAGATGAAGGGTTCCTGACCCAGTATGGAACTCACCCACACCAGTATGAGGGGTTTCTGTCCCAGTACGGAACCATCCCACACCAGTATGAGGGCACGTGACCCAGTATGGAACCTTCACACGTCAGTACGAGGGTAGTCATCCCACTATGGACCCCACCCCCACCAGTTTGTGGGTCTCTGTCCCAGTATGGAATCCCACCCATACCAGTATGAGGGCACTCGTCCCAGTATGGAACCATCCCACACCAGTATGAGGGCACTCGTCCCAGTATGGAACCATCCCACACCCGTATGAGGACACCCATCCCAGTATGGAACCTTCCTGCACCAGTATAAGGGTCTCTGTCCCAATATGGAATCTTCACTCCAGTATAAGGGCCTAAGTCCCAGTATGGACCCCACTCACACCAGTATGTGGGCTCCCGTCCCAGTATGGAGCTTTCCCACACCAGTATGTGGGCACCCGACCCAGTATGGACCCTATCCCCACCAGTATGAGGGCACCAGTCCCAGTACGGAGCTTTCCCACACCAGTAACCGGGGTCCCCAAAGCCGGGCGGCCCCCGCGGGAGCGCCGGCCACGTGCGATCTCCCGCCAGCCCCGGCCACGCCCCCAGGGGGCGGGGATTCGCGCCGCCACAGCCTTATACGGAGCCGGTGGGCGTTGCCGGTGAGGACACGCCCCCAAAGGGGCGGGGACAAGGCGGTGCCGCGCTGGCATTGGCGGGACCGGGAGGGAGCGTGCCTGGAGGGGGCGTGGTCTAGGGGAGGGGCGGGGCGCGGCGCCGGCCGGTTCCCGTCAAAAGGCGGCTCCGGGACAGTGGGGGAGGGAGGGGGTGGCGGCGGCGGCGCTGGCAGCGCAGGTACCGGGGCCCGGGCGTGGGG